AATTTATAATATAAATATTTTAGATTATTTTGTTATTGTAATAGGATTTTTAAATTTTAATATAAATAAAAAATAATATAATAATAATAATAATAGGATTTAGAAATCAATTAACATGCAATGTTTAATTTTACATTTTATTTTATATTTTACCTAGTATTATAGGTAGATTTATAAATTTTGATATAAATAAAAAATAAAATAATAAAAAAAATATATTAACAGATAATATTTAACTAATTTTATATTTAACATATTAGAATTTATAAATTTGGATATAAATAAAAAATAAAATAATAATAAAAATATATTAACACACGACATTTAATTAATTTTACACTTTACCTAGTAGAATTTCTAAATTTTGGTATAAATAAAAAGTGAAATAATTATAAAAAAAAAACACTATATATATTTTTTTTTATTAATTTTATAATACAATTTTTATTCAATATTGTATTTCAATTTTGATTTGTTCAACCATCAATCTATTACAAATTTGTTCACCTAATTTGTTCAAATATTTGAAGAATAATTTTAGAAATATTTTCCAAAGATAGAAAAAAGATAATCTATATAGATATATAGATAGATATATAGATAGATAGAAACTTTGAAAATGAAATTGCAGAGTAGGTCGAAGATGTAGGCAGGATTGGTTGGTTTACCAATTGGAATCTTGCAAACGTTTAGAGAGAACAAAGTTGGTAACTTGCGAACGTTAGAAGCAAACTCTTGAAATGAATGACGACGATGATGATGATGCTGATTATAATGATTAGAATAATTATCATGAAAATGATACTTTCTCTTGATATTCCTTAAAATCAAATGACAATTTTCAACAATTTCAATTGACCATGTCCATCTTTTTAATCATCTTCTTCCTACATTCGTATTTAGTATGTTACATTCTGTAAGTAAGATAAGCATAGTTATTTCCTCTCATTGAACTTTATCTTCTTAAGTAATGAAACTAATATAAGTTTGTTTCAGGATGAACAAAAAGATAGAAAGAAACACACATACACAGACACACATACATGAATATAAAGACCGTTAGTTTAAAACGTGGTTCAAGTTTTGATCATTCTTCTTATGATTGTAAGTACTCATTTACTCACTTACTTACTTACTTACTTACTTACTTACTTACTTAACTTTCTACTTTTATCATGAAGAATGTGAGAATCGTTTTCGAATCAAAACGTGTGTCTGATTTTCTCAAATCTACTGGGTGTTTAATAAAAAACCTATTTATATACTTCTACTTTTCTCATTTTGATTTTGGTCTGATTTTCTCAAATCTACTGGGTGTTTAATAAGAAACCTATTTATATACTTCTACTTTTCTCATTTTGATTTTGGTCTGATTTTTTCAAATCTACTGGGTGAGCAATAAGAAACCTAAGAAACCCGTTTATATTCTTCTGTTACTTTTCTCATTTTAATTTTGTGTTGTTTCTTTTTCTCTTTTTATTTTTAAATGTAGTTTGAATTGAAATTGAATTGAAACGATTTGATTACTTTTTCTTGCTGTTGTTGTTGTTGTTGTTCTTCTTCTTTTATTTGGGGTTTTGTATTTTTTTTCTTTTTTTCAGTTTGTTTGTTTGGTTTTCATTAGATAGTATAGTAATTGTTTCACGTTTGAATGCTTAAACCGTGTTTCTACTATTAAGCTTGAACCCGTTTTCATATACATTTGGTAAATTCGATTGTCGGTTAAGTTGGTAGTTCCTATATTGTCGAACTTTGTCGAATGTGGTTTGAATTTATCGATTCATTCCTAATGACTGAATTAAACTCGGTTTGCCTAACGTTATCCATTAAACACTCCATATTGTTATATGGGGGTGTGTTTCTTCAATTGATTTCTTAGGATTTTAGTTTTAATTTAGTTCCTTGAAAAAATCTTCTCATTGTATTTTTTTTTTTTTTAATATTATTATTATTTAATTAAATTAATTATTTAAAATATTATTAATTTCGATGATCGTTGTAAAAATTGTTTCTATTTTCTAAAATTAAACATAATTTCTTTTCTCAAATTCTATTTGCATTGATTTTTAAATAACACGTTTATAAAAATGTTTTTTTTTTTTTTTTTTAAAGGAAATATTATAAATAATATAATAAATAATCATTTAGTAGATGTTTGAAATTACGGGAAATTATTTATGTCACTGTATGTGCATTAATAATATTATTATTAATAATATTTTAATTATAACAGAATATAATTGGTAAAAAGAAAGAAAACATTAGAAATTAAAGTGAAACAAATGTGTGTGTGTGTGTGTGTGTATGTTAGAGAGAAAAAATGGAAGTACCGTTGAAAAATTGCAAAAGGTGTTTGAAGAAAGAGGTCAAAAATGTACCGGTCAAAGGGCCATTTCCGGTTAACGTGAAGAAACTACACACGAGACCTTTCTTTATTCTCGTATCTATTATTTTACTTTTCTCTTTGAATTTCTTTTTTTTTTTTTCTTGGTATTTTCTTTTAAGTAATTATACCGTGTAACGTGGTACTTCAATTTACATTTGTCTGAACGTTGTAGCAAATTTACTTTGTATATTGTAATAGATTTCTAGATCAATTTCGAAATATGAACTACGATAAATGCTATGACGTTCAATTAAATTTGTTTTATTAATTAGTTTAATAATTATTAATTTATAATTATTATAATTTTAATATTTTCTAATATATTTTATCTCAATATATTTTATCATTCATTTTATATTACAATTATATATAATAATAATAATAATATATTTGTATAATAATGTATCAAATAATAATTACAAAGTGATACAAATTAATTCGAATCACTTGAGCTTGTAAGATCGACATCTGTTAATTGTAGTTAAAGTGAGATAGAATGATCGATTAACTCTGTCATGCTTTGTTCCTCTCTCTTCACCACCCCTCTCACCATTTAGTATCCTTTGATCATCGAAGAAGGAAATTTACAGACGTAACGAATGATAAATGTCTCTGACAATCAACGTATTTACTATCTTCGTAATTATACAACATTCCTTTTGTATTATTTACTTAATCATTCAAACAATTAGAAGACAATTAATAGAAATGTTAGATAAAACGAATATCATAGAAAATACCTAATAATAGTTATTTTTGTTTCGTTAATTAACACTTCTACCAATTTAGTGTTAGTGTTCTTATTCGTGTCTCAAAGTATAAAAGGTTGTTTCAAAGATAAACAAATTATTTCTTAATGTTACTTTCAAAATAGATAAGGATAAAAATTGTGAGAGGGTGAGGGAAAGTAAGGAAGTTGTAAAAAAAAAAAAATAAAAAAAAAATTATTATAAATAAAATAAAAAATATTTGTAATACTAGTAGTATTGCAAATATAGTATTACTATGCTATTATCTATTATATACATTATTATTTATTATTTATATAATTATATTAATATTTTAATATTTATAATTATTTTAATATAATTATATTATATAATTATATATTATGTTTATTACTTACAAGTTCGCATGGCTCAGTGAGGCAAATCACCATCTAGTAATGTCCATCCAGTAATCGTATGTTCCCGAGTTCAAATCCCGGGGGGGAAAAAAAAATTATACGTCATGTGTACTAGTAAGAAATTCGACAACAACACTAGACATCTGTATTTTATTATTTATATATTATATATTATATATTTATTATAGTAATACTATTTGTAATACTAGTACAAATAGTATAGTAATACTAAATATAGTATTATATTAGTAGTATTATATATTATATATATTACTATACATAGTATAAATATATATATTTATTATATAGTAATATATAGTATTAATAGTATAATATAATATAATTTGTGTAATACTAAAAAAAAAGATACTTTCCATAGGTTAAGTTTGGTTTATTGTTAAACCAGCTAAGAGAAAACGGAGCTGGCCGTTGAGACAGTTGACAAGGGGGGTGGTTGTAGGTTTAGGTTAAGAAGGAATGAGGGAAAGGGAGTGTCGAGTATTAGAAAGACGAAGGGAGGTAGATAACATTCTCAAAGCTAGTGGAGGAAGATGTTGAAATGCTTCAGGCTGTTTCACCTTCTCGTGTCTTATAGGGGTGAGTGAAAGGTTGTAGGGGGTGGAGGGTGGGTTGGTTTGCTTACAAATCTAACCGAAGACCGAACTATATACTCCTCTACCTTGGCATCAGCAACAACCTAACTTGGCATCATCATCGTTTCCCTCTGTTCTTCCTCTTATCTTCTCCTGGTAGACCCTCGTCCGTCTTTTGGTTTATACTCCAGGATCTGGAGTACGAGGATCTAAGAAAGGGAGACCAACTGACTTTCTTCACCCCCCCCCCCCACATCATCCTCCTTCAGTCACTACTACCATCAACTACTACGTTTGACTTTGGTTAGTCTTCGTCCAAAACCGAACCCAGTTTCCGACTCTAAACATTGGTTCCGGCTTCTTACTTCACGAAATGTTTTAGTTTAGGGAAGATTGTTGTTTATTCGTGAAGGGAAACTTTATAAAGGGTTTATAAAATTTAAATTTCGATTTCTATAAAAAAAAAAAAAACATTTCACAGAAAAACATTTAAATAATAAAATAAAAATGTAATATCATTTCTAAATAAAATATAATAATTTTACATTAATTTATGTTTCAACAGAATACAACACAGACTTACTTTTACAGAAACAATTAATTAAAACACAACTCTGTCTTTGTGATTTTAATTATATAAGAGAATTTAATTAAACAATGACAAATTGTTTAAAAGACAAATGATTTATGAATAAATCCCTTATTAACACATATTAAATGATATTCAATTAGAAAATTTAAAAAAAAAAAAAAAAAAAAAACGATGAAAGAAAATTCCAATTTCTTTTATTCTTTTCTCAGTGAAAAAGACCTGAAAGATGTCAGAAAATAGTCCGTGCATGAAATTGAAAAACGTCTTTATTATTATTATTATTATCATCTTTTCTGATTTCAGAACATCCTAGACAAGTTCAATCCCGGTGCAAGGCAACTGATCAATGCTGGTAAAGCGTACCTGAAGGCACTTCACGGTAAGAGAATTAAAAAATAAATTATAAAAAAAAACAAAAAAACACGAAGGAAAAGGGATGAACAGGAAGTACGAGGAAAAAAGAAGAACAGATAAACAAAAAAAAAGAAATAAGGTTGAAATTTGATGTCCTACCTAATGGGCCAATCGGTTCGTCAGAATTGTTCCATGTGAGAAAGGGAAGGAGAGGGTGAATTGGTTTTTATTTTATTTTTTTTTTTATTTTTCGTTAAAATACCTTTACCTATCCCTTTTTCTTCTTTTATTCGGCCAATTAGATTCCAGAGAGAAAGAGTGAGAGAGAGAGAGAAAAAAAGTAAACTGATCGATCTCAACTTTTCCAACCCACACACCCACTTCAATTCTTCGGATTACTGAAAGTGGTACGATCAAAGTATTTTTCTTTTTCATTGGATAAACAAACGTTATCTTCTTATATTTATTATTGATTGTTTATATCTTAAGATAGTATTTTTCTTTTATAGTTGGTTTGTTAAATTTATTGATAGTGATATTGGTAGAGATACAATTTCCATTTTAGTTATATTGGATATCTCTGTGCAATGTTGAATTCATCACGAGTGACTCTTTTGTATTTCTTTGTATTGTTATTGATCAGTTTTCCATTTGATAGAAATTCAATTGAAAAAATATGATCTTTTATATTATCTCGTTTAATTTGTTATTTAATCTTTGAAAAAATTCATTCTATGATGATTACAATACTTATCAGAAATTTGGATACATCAATTGCATTTGTGTTGCATAATTTAAGTAAATATAAATAATATATTTTATTATTATCATCATCATCATCATCATCATCATCTTAATATAAAAAGATACTAATTAAATTTCAATTTATTATTTAATAATAATTTCAGGATTTGGATTTTTCAAACAGAAAGGCTAATAATTTTGCAAACGTAAAACGATTTAGTTTAAGACTTTGGAAAAGGCAAAATTTCTCATTTAATTAAATAATCACTTTGTGGCAAAACTTTAATTACTTCCTAAAGATGAGAGAAATATCTTATAATTTAATACGGAATATTATTCCCATAAAGGAAAGGAAAGATAGAAAAGAAAAAAAAAAAACCTTTATCGAGTTATTTATAATAACGGGGGGAGGGGGGGGGAGAGGTCAAAGTTTCCAAGCAACCCCTTTTTGAAGAATTCAAAATCAAAATGTCAAATCTTTTGCAAGATTGATTAATATTTTGATTATCACATGAAAAAGTTATGATAAATAATTTTTTATCGAGTTATTTATAATATGGGGGGTTTGAAGTTTTCAAGCAACTTTTTTTTAAAAAATTCAAAATCAAAATCAAAGTTTTAAATCATTCACAAAATTGATTAACATACAATACTTCGATTACAACATGAACAAATTACAATAATTAATATAAAACCCATATATAAATTACGTACCCATCGTCATGACATTTTACGTTACACCTTCCCCCATACAATTTGTTCTTCCTTCATCATTTTTTTCTGAAAAATAAAACCAAAAAGAAAGAAAATATTGGTAGGGTAAGTTCCGATATCGAATAAGGGCATTGAATTATCTTCGTATAGTAGTTTTCGTTTTCCTTCAACGATTTTTCCTCAACCCACTGCCACCCCCTTCGGAGAAGAGAAGTTATGGTTTATTACATACGATAACGAAACGTCATTGGTTTAGAAAGAGTATAAAGAGTATGGAGAGAGGGTGGGTGTTATGGTGGGTAAATCGTTACGAAACATCACGGAGTAGAGAAACAACTTGGGATAGAACGTTTTCAGTGAGTGATAGAGAGAAAGATAGAAAGGGAAAAGGGATATAGGGATATAGGAAGTGAGAGAGTGAGTGGTGGTGTGTGTTAGGTAGAGAATGCAGTAGGCGAATCCGAGCCAGCTGGAAAGCTCCGACGTAAGCGGAGCTTAAATCTGGCTTTGTCACGGTGCAAGCGCACGTAGTATTCCGTGTCCATGGAAGCGAGATACGATTTCTCCCTAACCCCTCCACCCTATGGTGTTTCTTCCTACACAACAATTTACCTATATATATATATGTATATATATATTCCTATATTTGTATATGTGTGTCTGTGTATGCAGTCATTGGGGTGTGATTTGTATGGGTGTTGGTAAATGTAAAGGTGCTTGTGTTTTAGTAGCCATGGTGTTTCTTCCTACACACCAATTTATCTATATATATTCCTATATTTGTATATGTGTGTGTATGTAGTCATTCAGGTGTGTATTTGGATGGGTGTTGGTAAATGTATAGGTGTTTGTGTTTTAGTAATGTTGTATGGTGTTGGATACGAGGGTTGAGACCGATATTTATGGCGTTTGCGATTCAGTAGAGAGAAAAGAGGTGTATGTCTATAGAAAGAGAAAGAGAGAGAGAGAGAAGATGAGTGGGAGGAGTAGGGGGAATGGGGTGGAAAAGGAGGTGGAAACGAATGAGTTTGTTAGAAAGGTGGAAAGAGATAGATAGATTGAGATTCCAGGGGAGGGGGGGGTTGAATAAGAGATAGACAAAGATGAACATATACTTTAGGAAACAAAGAAAATTAATCTCGGAGATTTTGTTAATATAAGGAAGAATATTATTATATCAACATGTTATTTAATAATAATACGTTTTGTTTCTGGGTGTTTGTAATATTTGTTGCTACTTTTCTTTTTATTTTTTTTTTTTTTTTGATTTATTGGAATAATTATTTTGTTTTGGTTTTGAGAATTGGTTTTGTATTAATAATATATATATATATATATTTTTTTAAAATTATTTTTTAGGATTATTGAGACAAGGAAATATTGAATTTTGATACTTTAAGTTTACTTTGGTCTATTATTAATTTTAATTTAGCATTTAAATTAATATTAAATTATTAAATTATTTTTAAATAAATAATTAAATTACTTTTCGATTGGATAATAGTTAAATGATTAAATCGTACCTTTATTATTAACTATTATTTGGATAAAGAGTAAAATGATAAATAGTATCTTTATTATTAAACTATTATTTATATAAAAATTAAGATGATAGTACCTATGTTTATATTTTTATTTTTTAAATTAGCTCTTATGTAGATTTATAATTATTATTTGAAAAATATTTCTTAACAAATACACAAACACACATATACATATATTGTATTTTCGCGAAAGTCCACTTATATGGAAACGTGGATAAGAATAATATTTGCACGTATGTAAAATCACAAAGTAGTTTTTGTTATCTCTCTCTCTCTCTTTCTCTTTCTCTTTCTCTGTCTCTTTCTCTTTCATTGTTCATTATAGTTTATCCAACATAGACACTCGTAGGGTTGGTTCCACAAAATCTTGCGCCTGGCCGCACCTTTGCAAGTACTTAGCAAACGTAGACTATCTCAAATAAGAAAGAAAAAAAAAACCAGAAAAAAGAGGACCCTTCCCTTTTACTCTCCCTTTCTCTGTTCAACAAATTTTACTCTTTAACTCACTCACTCACTCACTCATTCACTCATTCAACCCTTTTCGCTATTATCTAACTACCATCATCACATCGTCAATGGCTTTTGTCTTATTCTCCTAAAGGTTTTCGACTACTACCACCACCACCACTACTACTAACACTACTACTACTATTACTACTATTACTAATACTATTATTTCTCTCATCGTGGTAATCCTTTATTTGTTTTGCACTTTCCATTCTACTCGAGTACGTCAAAAATTAATTCCTAATCGAGTTAGTATCTCTCTTTCTTTCTCTCTCTCTCTCTTTCTCTTAGTATCTTTCGTTTTGTTTTTATCTTCTCTTTATCTTTATCTTTTTTTTTATCTTTTTTTTATTTTATTTCTTTCTTTGTAAGCGTTGAAACCTTCAGAGAATCTCCTGGCAGTGTAGGAACTCGTTAAGAAAGTTACATCCACCCTCCCCACTCTCACTCCCACTCCTCATTTCTACCCCCTTTATCCCTCAGCCTCATCTTTGTACTCTTCGGGAAAACTCTTCTCTTCTCTTCTCTTCTCTTCGCTGACTTTTTCAGCATTCTATCGTATTTAATCGTGGTTGAGTCTTCCAGATAAAAACTTCGTAATTCCTAGAAGTGCGTGGGGATAAAAGAAAGAACAAGAAAGAGTGGGGATGAGTGAGTGGGTGGAGTGGGGAGAAAGGAAGAACCATTGGCCATCTTAACGTGACCTCAACACTGACTGAGAAATTATAGCAATTTTATTTGTACGTCTACTTACTTTCTTTTTTTTTTCTTTTTTATTTTCCCTTTTCATCTTCTTCTTCTTCTTCTTCTTCTTCTTCTTCGAAGTTTTATTTTTGCGCAAAATACGATACCGTTCATGGAATATAAACTTTCTTTCTTTCTTTCTTTCTTTCTTTTCTAAAAGGATAATCTGAGAAAACTTGTTTTCTTTTCTTTTTGCTTTGTTTTTTTGTTTTAAGACAGCCATGGTTGACAATTTGTGTACGAGAAACTAAAAAATAAAAATAATAAAAAAGAACGCAATGTTTGTATATTTTTTTTAAAACAAATCTTTCATATTTCTATTAATTTTGTATTTTTTTTTTGGATTGCTGTTAAAGTTCAGTTCATTTTTTCTTTTTTTTTCACTTAAAAAAAGTTCAAACTTAAGCTTAGTTTGTGATGGTAATATTTTATAAAGGGTTACATTTTATTTGAATCAATAAAATATAAAAATAATATTACCTGAAACTTGTTTACCACCACTCAGGATGATGGTCGGTGTTTTTTTTTTTAATTCAAGTTCAAGTTCAGCTCAACTTTTTTTTTTTTTTAATTGAAGTTCAAGTTTAAATTTAGGTGATGGTAATTTTTTTTTTTTTTATAAAAGATTGCATTTTATTTTGATCAAAAAAATAGAAAAATAATATTACGTGAAACGTGATTACCGTCACCATTAGGGATGATGGTTGGGGTCGGTGCTATTTAATTCAATTATAATATGAAAATCATGTTTACAATTATTTCCAAATGTAAT